AACTTGTGGCGCTGACCCAGATTAAAAAAAAATGAGTTAAATCTCCTAATGAGCCAAACCTAATTTTTTTTCACAAAAGGAGACTAAATTGTAAAAAATTAGGACCGTAGTACCCATGTCTCAGCTGCCCGGATCATTGGAGGCATCCATGCATAGCATGCATGTTCGTGGTTAGGTAGTAGACGACTAGTGGTGAAACTTAATATATATAGTAAACATTGTATATACTATCATCTTGTGTTCTCTTCCCCTTGGAATGTTGCTGTCAACTCAACCATCAACTTTTCATCACATTAGTCATATACTCATATATGATCGAGGAGGCTTTCGGTTTGGATTTGGGGATATTTCAGTGGATAGATTCGGTCAGCTAGGTAGCTAGAATTTAGAAAGATTCACCTAATCCGATCGCTTGTGTGTTTGTTCACTTTGCATATAGGTCGTCGGCGTCGGTTTGTGTAGTAGATAAAAAAAAAAGGAAATCGCTGATCGGGAACAAGTGTGCCTAGCTGTGTACGCTGTTGTATAAATAATACGTGAACAACAGCAGGGCACGAATATACAAGCATTTGGACGATTTGGTTATTTGGATACTCCTATTGCAGCCACTTTTCAATAGTACGTGTGTGAAGCATGCATGGTCTCGATCGCATGCAATTAGCGCAACCGCGCGCCATGCGATGCGAGCAAGCAACAGAAAGCGACGGATCTTGCTTTCATCGATGGCCAGCCTCTTACCACCAGTGATCGATCATCCACGACGACGATGATCTCGCATCGCATGCATGCTCATCTTTAATTAGCCTTGCCTTTGCGCTTTGCTTGTGAGTTGTGATCTCTCGCGGATCGTTTCGGACCCAACACGCACCTTTTCCGGATGTGTGCATGAGATGCGCACATGAAAAGCCACTGTCGTTCCAGACGACGTTTACAAATTAAACCGACGAATTTCCTTCCAACGTAAAAAATAATCACAGGGCCGGGGGTCACTGACAAGTAGACAACATCTGCCACGTTATTACTAATGTGTGCTACGTTTGATACTTTGATCTGACCTAACAAACACCGAAGTGTTTTTGCTCTGGACTAGGCACAATTTATACCATGCCTTAATTAAGGGTTTGTTTGGCATGGTTCCTTCTTAAAGTGTTTAGTATAGCTCTTCCGCAAAAGCCATTGCCAGAGAGCCATGCCAAACAGGCCCTAAGCATACACAATTTGACTGAACATGGCTAGAGTGTATGTTTGCATGCCTTAGCCCTCGCTGGCATATAATGTTTAAGCAGCAGTGCACCACAAAACCTTTGCACTTACTTGAGGACCTATGTTTCGAGAGAAGACTTTTATTCATTATTATCTGTAATTCGTAAAATCTGTGATGATGCGTCACATTTTGAAATATTTTCCTTCAAATCGTGGCTTGCAAACAAATTCATCCTAATAACACATGTTTTACTTTAAGTCCAGTCACACAAAGGTCATATCATCGAGTCACATATATAACTATAAGTCAAACACCATATTCGACAATCGTAGGACTTAGGGCCCGCTTTGGAGGGTGCTCCATCTGGCTCCGACTTTAACGCTATAGTAGTACTATAGCGGAGCTGGCGGAGCCTCAAAATTGTGGCTTCAGGAGCTCATCCTCTTTCGCCATTGTTTTTGCGATAGGAAGAGTCATTTTTTCCACTATGTATAGCGAAGCACGGTGCCGCACAGTACCCACGTAGAGGAGCCGGAGCTCTAAGGAGCTAAACCATACAAGCCCTCAAGTTCGGTGAGTGGTTTAACCATTTAATAGTCACGTCTATCTCTACTGCGAAAACATCTGGCCTCTCAACAATCGATCCTTACTACGAGCCATTAAGGGGTCGGGTGCCTGAACTGACTTTGTCTCCTTCTGCATAGCTCAAGCAAGGAGCTAGAGGGGGGCTTATGTCCCTTTGCCTCCATGTTGGATCTGCCTTGACGTCTCATCTAGCAAGATATGGTCCTGAATACATAGTCTCTGTCATGCCCAACTCAGCAATCAACCCCATGGTCTTATCATTAGTCCAGTTGGGGAGGCGTGGATGGCAGCAGAGGAGAAGGCATCGGGCATGGTGAGGAGGTGCAACTACTGACGGAGGGGAAGGAATCAAGGAGGAGGAGAGGCAGGGTTGAGGTCGGGGAGGGAGGGCGGAGTAGAGAGAGAAGCGGTGAATAGGGACAAAACTCAGAGCAAAGAGGTTGGAGAGTTGTCAAGGGCCCTGAGCCCTGCCCTCTATAGAAGACTAGAGCAATATTATGGGTGCTTGAACTGACTTCCTTCCACATATAGTTCAAGTAAATGGGGTTGAGCCCCTTCGCCTCCACATTGGATCTACCTTTTTCCCATAAATACTCAAATATAATTAAAACTTTAAAGCACGGTACAATGGATTGGGAAATCAATTCCTAGGTTACAAGTCTATACCATCTTAGCTACAAAGATAGAATCAAAACATAGACTCTTATAAAGATGCTCATAGACAGGGACATAGAGCAGACTAATAAGCTGAAATCCACACATTTGTATCTTCGAACATAGGTGATGTCTTCTTTAGGGGCACCGGACCAAGAGAGATGTGGTCCTCGCCCTCGTTTGGTGCACATGGATCTCACAAAAAACAACATCTCTCCAATACCTATGATCATGTGAAATATATAGTAACCACGCTAACATTGAGGTTTGAAGCGCAATTCACAAGCACGAGCGTGCCAACACTTTGACAAGCGCCGTTCTCGTACCTTGACGCTTGCTCCTTAGTCCTTATGCGTGAATCTTCTTCTTTTTGGATCCCTTGTCCCAAGCATGGCTGATAACTCTTGGTCTTGGAGCATTAGTGCCATCATTCTAGGGTACAATCTTATGTGTGTTTATTGACCTTTATTTCGATCGACATATATCTTAAAAGTGTGAAATTTGTCGTCCTCCCTCTCCTCAGTTGTTCTAAAAAAAAGAACGATCCACTATATTACAACTCTATCACTACTCATTTAATTGTATTGATTCATTTTCAGCCTTTGTCAGACCTTTAAATTTATTTTCACCGGTACAACCTAGCTAGCCTCCATCCATTTACTTTCTTGCGCACCAGTGGCGGAGCCACCGCCCGGCCACCCTGGGCAGCCGGCAGGGCTCGTCGGTGATTTTTAATAGAAAACTTCCTTTATACCAAAGAAGAGGACTCTAATTTACTAGATAAATTCTTTTTGCATAGTGAAGATTGCCTAGGCTTCTAAGAGTTTCTGGCTCCGCTAATGTTGTGCACACATGTACTCGGTGGCAAAAGGAAGGGAGGTTCGGCACCCCCAGCATTTTTGTCTCATATTGTAACCCCCCTCAATTAGCTATTTAATATTCCAATTATCTAGTTAGTGTTGCTATTTATGATTTTGTTCATTGTCCTCTCTAATAGCATCTTATATATCTAACTAAGAATTAAGTCTTCTATTGTTTTCTACATCTCTTTTGTTCTTTTTATTATTGTCTACTAAACATCTAGTTTGTTCCCCACGTTACATCATTTAATTAGCTAGTTAATTGTCATTAGTGCTTTGCTTGTTTTCTCCCTCTAGAATAATCTGCAATGACATCTATATTATTTGAGATTAGCCTTCTTATTATCTTCATTATCTCCTTTGTTACTATTATTACCGTGATTCTTTTTCTGGCCTAATAATTAGATCGATCATGTGAAAGTTAGAGACTTAAGACTAATTAATTTAATTTCCTTTTTCTTCATACTATTCAGTGCTCTTTTAATTTGCTCTGCACTTCTTTTGTATCATAACACAAACGTTAACTATGTATCTTTTATCGTGTATATATTTCGTCATGTATGATTGTTATTGGTTTGAACAGATCCCTTATTATATCTAAATCTTGGCCTCACCCTGTATATAATACATTTTTTACATAGATAAAAAATGAAAGGAATAAGAATAATAGATTGGTGATTGGTGAAGATACACATACACAGCATGAGGATCCGAAGCTCGAAGATGCAGTGGAAAGGTTGGGATGATATGATGGACGGCCGGCGGGTGGAAAAGCGTCGAGGGAGCAGCAAGCTGCAATGATGGGTGCCTACGTGTGCGCGCGTGGCGCACAAGCCCCGCCGAGAACGGCACTTCTCCGCTGCTTTCTATGCCCAGGTGGGCCACATGCTGCACAACAGTCCAGTCCTTGTAGTGGGCCCACGTCCCTACTGGGCTTCGTTCCACATGAGCATCCGTGGGCCCTGGACCCACCACTGCCGTTTCCTTCGGTTTGTAGGTCCTCAGTCACCTCGTGTGAGAGTTGAGCAGAATTTCTATAGGACAGCAAACACACTTTCTGAATCTCGCAATGCTACACCCTGAAAACGCTGCCTCTATTTTCGCTTTTGCAAGCATATCAATATGCCACCTTTCAACCCTGTAATAGCATTCGTTCATGTAATGCACGATCGTCTATATTTTCCTCTAAAAATAGTACAACTTCGAACCAAATTGCTGTTTGAAAGACAACAAAAAAGGAAGAGAGAAAAAAGGCCCTAAACTCATCCAAATCGGAATGTCGGCACGAAACACACAAGGGTGTGCAGCCTTTCGCGACACGGGTCCCTGTCAGCTGTACTGTACTGTACCACTGTGAGCTCGCCGCTCATCAGTGCTCTCCAGATTTATATTTGTATTTATATATATATACTCGTAGAAAAAAGAAGGAATTCGTTGCACAGTCAGATCTTATGATTCTTCTGAAAAGACTGGGAAACAAGACAGCTTATTTTGTCACACATGTCTATTTTTCTAAAAAATGGTCACGCAATGTTTGTAGCATGCACAAAATAGAATCTGTCCATTTTGTTGTTCTTGTCAGCTGAACTCGAAGAACAGACCACGAGGTATCTGAAGCTCCGGTGGCCACTCCATGGTGCTGATCTCCGGTGGCCACCGCGTGGTCAATCATCCATGGGCGCCGGGCCGCCGGCCAATCATTCCGCCGCCTGGTTGGTGAGGCCGGCCCGGCGCCGGCAGCCCGGCACGGCGGCACCCCATCTGCTTGGTGCTGCTTGGTGGCGCCCATGGCTCACATGCTCCCAGGTTTGTCTCTTTGGGACAGGGACATGCATCTGCATGCGTAAGGCCTGATTGGCACACACCTGCCCCCGTGTTGTTCCCGTCGTCTGAGCTGTTTGCGTTGCCACAGCACGTTGCTGCCACTGTTCAGGGGACACGGGACACATCATCTCCTCTCTGGCCTTGCCACCGGGCAACCTCACCTCATGGGCATGAATGAACATCAACTGATGCATCGCCCTCCAACAGGGTTGCAGTGTGAGGTTCCATGAATCTGGGCACTCTTTGACAATGGCACAATGCCACATAACATGGATAATATCAGGACATGGCACCAGGAACTCCCATTGTACAAATGAGAATGTCAACAGATCAGTGGCATCAAGCACTTCAGAACAGGTTCATGAACTTAATTACTCGAGGGGGGGGGAGATGATTTACTGTAATTTTCTAACTGAAATCATAATGAACTTATTACTGCTAACCATAGGCAGGATTTCAATATAACATGCACCATAAATTAGCACTAGGTACATACATCGGTCCAGAACTCAACTCATTGTCAAACTAGGCATTATATATCTACAGTACAGCACAGCATTATTAAGTATACGCCGACGAAAATTTCTCACGCTATCCCTAGCTAGCTAGCTAGACAAGGCTCTTCATCTTACGCCTCAGCCACATTGGCCTAATATCTACACTCAGCGAGAGGAAAATCTCCCGGTTGCTCGCGTCCAAGAAGACGTCGGGCGCCAGCGACTTCTCGACCGGCGACAGCTCCGCCATGGCGCTCATCACCTCGATGCACCGCGGGATGCTGAACCTGTTGTCCCCATGGATCTCTGGCTTCTTGCTCTCTCTCGGGGCGATGGCATGGGCTTCCATAGCATCGGAGGTCCCGTCCTCGCTGGGCCTCCTGGAGAAGCGCCATATTTCTCCGCGCGGTTCCTCGACTGGCCTCCTGGAGGGCTGCCAGGAGGATGGCTCGGGACGCACCTGAGCCAGTGGTTTAGGGTACAGGTGTCCGTTCATGGTCTGGACTTCGACGCCGACTAGAGTCTCCTGTTGGAATGAAGACTCCCTGGACACTGGAGACGGAGGGATTGGGGAGAGTTGTCTGCTGATGTAGAAGTCATCTTCGTCGTCGCTTGAGTCAACTTCAGTCCCATTTCTTTCCTGCAGTATAGGTGCAGCAACACTGCTTTTACCATCCAAAATAACGCCAACTGCAGAATAAGAATGAGAAATATCTTAGTATCAGGAACAGGTTCAAATTGCACATTGAAATCATATCTTATCCCATTAATTAACAAATACCAAGCAAGCCATCATCTGTTAAAAAAACATACATGTTACTCTTTATCCGAACAAAAATAGGTGGTACAAGCTATTCAGGAAGACAGCATAACATATCAGGTTAACTTCAAGATATCCAAAACTACCAGCCAAAACAAAACAAGCTATTCAGGAGGCTACGAAAACACTTCAAATGAGGGCTTCTTTCTATGGCCCTGAAAAGTTTACCCTCCCTTATTTCACCCAAGGTTCAACTATCATCCCCCAAAATGACACTCCTATCCAACTGTTCATTTTTCTTCTTAATGGTGTTAAGTGTAGTTTAAAAGGACAATTTTGCTCCGAGGTAGAAAGTGTTCAGTTTGTACAGTATATCAGGTCTCTATATGTTGTTCTCAAATAAAGATCACACCAAGATTATGTTGCGAGATACCAACTATGAATATGAGATATATTTAACACGAATTGATATTTTAGAGTGGAAACTCAAATGTATGTTTCCATTTCAAAACGTCCAACAGCAGCATAGAAAGAGTACATGCATATTGCGTATTGCCAGATTTCAGAACTTTTGAGCTTAAATAAACATATCTAGTCGAAGTGGCGCCTCCACACTACTGGCACCATGGGCCATTGCTCTGTTGTTGCAGAACACAAATCGCCACTCAATATCGGTCATGACACCTCACCACCGCGAGTTATGAGCTGTTACCACAGCCATCCGTCGCCGTCGTGAGTTCACAGCATGGGACGCCATTGGCCTGCAGTTATCGCATTCTGCACCTTGCTATTGCCCGCACCCACAGTGCCGCCTGCTGCACACACCACGGCAACACCACCAACCTGGCGCCGCCAGCTCCATTCGCGCATAGAGCATCGCCTCCGCTGCTAGACCCTGCGGCTCCCACGTAAAGCATCAAAACCTGTGCCTTCCCACGACGACAAGGGCACCTGTGCAGCTCTCCTGGGCCCGTGACACTCCCGCAGAGAACACCCATGCCACTCCTCGCCCATGCCCTTCTCAATTGGTCCCGTGACCACACAGTTCCTAGTCAGAACAACATCAGCATTGCCATCGAGCTCCTGCCTCTTGCTTGGCACAGTGCCATCGACTGAGCTGTCCCACAACATAATCGAAATGAAGCCTGCCCCACACCTCCTTAGCTACATCTGCGCCGTCACCTCCGACCACAGGCGCTTTAGGGTTTGGTAGGATAGGGATAGGGAGCAGTGAATGGATGAGCGGCTGCCCGTCGGCCGGATGTCCCTTGGATGGCAGTGTCATTTTACGGATGAAAGTTGAACCTAGTGTCAAGTAAGGGAGGATGAACTTTTAAGGGCCATAGAAAGAAGCCCTCATTTAATCATTTTACCAGTGTCAAATAAGGAAATTTCTCGACTACACTTTGCATACCATACTAGCATTACAGTCTCTAATTCTATTTTAAGACAGCACTCCAGCCAGTGAGCACTGGCATGAAGTCAACTACTCTGAAAAATTACCAAAGTATATGTAGTTCCTCAAAAAGCATTCTCAAGAATAGCCTGCTTATTATTTCTCATCAACTTGAGATAACATGCCTTCCTATCCTAGATATTGTTGCTGAGGACTCACTGCTGTTCTAATGACCCCTAGTGGTCTTGGACCGATCTCACAGCTAAGAATAGCCAGCTCCAAGCCTTGCAAATAGGGCCAGAGTAAGCTCGATGGGGTTGGCAGTCACTTTCGTTAGAATGGCTCCATAGTCAAGGTTTGCCTAGAGGAAGGTACGGTGGTTGGCTGTCATAACAAGTTGTAGAGATGGTACTAGGATATGAATTCTAGTTGTAGAGATTAATTAAGAGATCAGTTACCTTCCAACAGAACAGCCTCTGTTCCTACAGATAGGAAAAGGGGTAGTGCAGGCCTGCTGAGACTTTCAGAAGAGCCTTTGATCATCTGCCTAAATCCTCTAATACAATTATACAGCAGACAACTACTGAAAAAGCTGCTCTAGCTAGGAAGCTAACAAGGTACTTCATAATCTCTGTATTCAGATTCTAATGTCTCTACGAAAAACGATAGCTTCAAGAGAAAGATAATGAACCTAATCATGCTTAGTTGCTTACACCCTCTCTCTCTCTCTCTCTCTCCCTCCCTCCTCCAACCCCTCTGGGCCCTGGTAAGACTGGGCAGTAACATTGGGTGACAGGTTCTATTGGTGCAGAGTTCCTGACAACACTATCTAGCTGTTCCTAAGAGTGCTAGAACATAAAATTGTTCAAAACAGTATCAAGCAATGAAAAAAATCACAAGTCATGCGAAAAAACTATCTAGTTGGCAGTTAAGGAAGAAACGTGTGCAATACTAAGGTGCCAAACAGAATTAAACTACTCCCTCCATCCCAAATTGTAAGACGTTTGACTTTTTTGGCCCCAAGTTTGACCACTCGTCTTATTCAAAAATTTTGTGCAAATATAGTCAAATTTAAGTAATTCTTGAAGATTTTTTATTAATAAACCAAACCACGACGAAAGAAGTGATATTTTACACAAATTTTTGAATAAGACGAGTGGTCAAACTTGGTGTCAAAAAAGTCAAACGTCTTACAATTTGGGATGGATTGAGTAGAAGATATCTGATGCAAAACTCCCACATTAAAATCATTCGCTAGACTCCATTCCAGCTCCTTAATTGCATTACCTTTTTCTCCCAAATGGGTTTCTACAATCATCGCATTTACAGTTGATGGAGCATCCTGCCCCTCCTTCAAATTAAAAAAAAAACATGTTTCCTTAATCACAAACTGTCATAATGAAAATGAAAATTAATGGGACAAGGCTGAATATGGAACCTGGTAGCAGTCACAGTACTTTTTAAGGCAGCCTGACTTCTTGCAGGTGCATTTTCTTCTAATAAGATCCATAGGGGACCTTATGACTTGTTCCTGAAGCCAATAAATAGCAGGATCACCAAAAAACAAAATGAAAGAAAGAGTATAAAAGATATAGATAAGGTGATGTAAGAAGAAATTCATACCACTATGTCTTGACCAGCTTCTGATGTTTGGACAGGTTTCAGAGGTAAAACCGGTGCAGTTCGTGGAGCAACTTGCAGTGGTTGCTTGTTTTCACAAGGTTCGCATCCACATGACTCAGTACAATGTGACCCAGAAGCAAAGCACACACAATAACTGTTACAGAATAACACAGATAATGATTATACACAAAAGAGAACTTAAATTAGCAAGAAAAAACAAAAAGCAAGGCACACAAACACATGGTCAGGTGTGGAGGTTACATGCCAGTGCATAGGCAATGGCATGCACTAAGCGTCCACAGGACCACAGGTGTGTGCATAAACCAGCCCGATTTACTTAGCACAGTGTTTTCAGCACAGCAGACTAATCGCGATTACTCCATGATTCATAAACATATTGGTAACTGGATGTGATCAGGTATATTGACTTTGGTTAGCATAGACAACCAGTAGGCTAATATTAGTCACAATTAGTTTGCCAAGTCTGGGCGATTGACTTGCAGCCAGTAGCATGAGCTTGGCAATTCTGGCCCAACAGTATATGAGCCCATTAGAAATCAATACACACATATAACATTTGCAGCTCTGTTTTTTTACCTAACTCGAATCTATTTGTTCTCTGCAGTCTCTATTCCATGCTCTGAAAGATGTTAATGCCCTCAACATGAGTTAATAGGGTTTACACAATCAGGTACAGCCAACAAACTAGGTAGTAGGCAGCATGAGCCAACAGGACAACTTGGTCGACTAGCCAACGGACTAATCATGCATGTGTAGTTGACTAGTTGGTAGTGGTGCAGTGCCCAGGCAAGTCCACCTGACTTTATAACACTTGAAAACATTGGTTCAGCATTCACCTTTATTGCAATAATGACATGTATGTTAAACCCTCATCGGCAAACTCAGCTCTCTCCACAGGATGAGTGGTACACAGCATTACATCCAAATACACCAGAAAATGCAGCATGCTCTTCTTCCACTGTGCAACCACACAGTGGGATATAATAAAACGAGAAGCATTGCTACACTTAGAACTAAAACAATGGAACCAGCTTCTTCTCATTAATCTATATCGAATTATGAACTGGACTACTGGAGTTAGTGGAGAGCTCAAGATACTAAATAAAACCGCAGCATTATGCTACTAGGCAGTGTGAGATTGACGAAACAAAAATTAGCACCGTGCATTTGAAACATATAAGACTAATCAGATCTAAACCTGCCTAAAACAATACTGAATTCGTCAGCGACAGCAAACCAGATCAGCAGCGCATAAAAAATGGTAAAGACATCCTAGGCGCACACTGAGGACGACATGTTGTACTGAAAGAAAAAGCTCGTTTTTTTTCTCTAGCCATACCTCATCACTTCATCAGTCATCCCACGGTGAAACATATACTGCTGGGGCGAACGAAACAATGGAGAAGGCTGCAAGCCCGGTGTGGGGGTGAAAGAGGGGAACTTACAGCTTCATGCACCTGGACTTCTTGCAGCTGCAGGTCTTGCACCCGTCCCCGTCCTCCGCCTTCCTCCTGATTCACCCAGCAAACAGAAGAAAAACAGAGTTGCGAAGGGAGAGAAAAAAATGTTAGCAGGAGCGAATCGCACGCAACGAACCAAAAGAGGAAACCGGAAACTTTGCAGAAAAGGGGAAAGCGCACGGACCTCCTCTTCCTGTCGGAGTTGCCGTTGGCCTCCGCCGGCGCCGGCGCCGGCGCTGGAGCCGGTGGCGAGACGGCCGCGGAGGCGGTGGGAGCGGCAGCCTCGGCGGCGGGGGTCGGGGGCAGGACCGGGGCGGGAGGTGGCGGGGGCGGAGGAGGAGGAGGCGGAGCAGGAGCAGGAGCAGGAGGAGGCGGGGAGAGGCGCGCGTCGTCGGGCTCCGATCCGGCGGGCTCCGGCAGCGGGAGATTCGGCGCCCCCACCTCCGCCTCCATCGGATCGGGCGCCGCCGCCGCCGCCGCAGCTGGCGGCGCCCCGATCGGCGGCTCGGGCGGCGTGGTGGGGCTCGCCGTGGCGACGAAGCGAAGGCGAGCGCGTGAGGGGGTGCGAGGTGCGGTCGGAAGGGGAGAGGGAGGGCACGAGGGAAGGAAAGCCAACGGGTGAAATGGAATGGGGGTTAGGGGTGCTTTGAGATTCGCGCTCGCTGCTGGGACGGCTGTGATCGGCTGTTTCCTCCTTGGATCCGGTTTGGTTCCGTTTCGACCTGGGCCTGGCCTTCTGCTGTCACAAAACGTGATTTAGCACACACGCAGCATAAAGCCGCAGCCTTTTTCTTTTTGGTTTGGCAGGCTGTGATTGGTAGTGGAGTGATTAAATACTCTAAATTAATGTCGTTTTTTTTGTTTTTCTAGACACATAGCCTTTACTGTGCATCTAAACATATACTATATCTAGATTCATAACTTCTGTTGCGTATTTAGAAAAGTCAAAATGACTTATAGTTTGGAACGGATGGAGTAGTAAATTACTAGTAGCTGAAATTCTGATAGATTAGTAGCAGCTCAAATAATGAATGAATTTGTGGTGTGCACACATAAATTCCCACGAATCCAAATGTTAAATGAATACGAACATGGATAGTCGAAATTGATATTCCAAATCCTATGCTCCAGATGAATCAGTAGCAGCTCGAATAATAATTGGAGGGTTTTTTTTTTGGTGTGTACATATAAATTCCCACAAATCCAAGAATGAAATGAATACGAGTATGGATAGCCAAAGTGGATACTGGCGTACTCATTGCTCGGGATACGGTGTTTTACAGCTATGTTGTCTGGTGCACTTGCCGGCACGCTCTCTCTTCTACTGCTTCATGCTACATCTACATCATCTTTTGTCCTTATAAAAAAACATCAAGGAAGCATTATTAGTATGGATATCTTTTGTCCTTATAAAAAAAACATCATTTTTTGTCTTTTGTGCAAAAATATCACTTAGTTGAAGTTAAAAGATATGATAGTAACTATAGTGACGTCTAAGAGGTGGGAAAAGATTGCCTTGAGCTACAAGTTATAAATGATTTGTATCCGAGAAGTGTTCTTTAAAAAAGTACTGTGTATGACATAAGTGATAAGTGGGATCAAGGAAGCATTATTAGTCTCAAAATCTTTGCTTGCTCAGAATAGGGATGGACTTCATGGGATACTCTGCGTTACGGGATCTACCATTTCCTCATGACCGAGGCTAGCAATTTGACATGTCCGAAACTCCGAATAGTCTTCATCATGTACCATTTCCTTGTGACCGAGGCTAGCAATTTGACATGTTTATCATGCATATTCTAGCCAAAACAAAACAAAACAAAAAACACAAAAAACAAGGCAAAAGAACACATTTGGCATGTTTGCTGGTTGATTTCTGGACTAATAAGCTCGGTTAGTGCTGATTTGTTATGAGAGGAAAACACTATTAACTAACTGATAAACCCTGATTGAAACCAACGAGCGAACAGACTGATGGCTCATCCTGGGCTCGTGATCTTGCATGCAAATTTCCGCCGAGGGGCATGTCGTTATCGATGAGTGACGTTGGCCATGGATACTATCGCGTTCGGGCATGCCGTCCTACGGACAGCGCCAATCCACCAACAAGTTGCCAAGGAACTGGGTCGAGGCTTTGATTTGATTTTTTGGTCATTTTATTAGGAGCATGGTGATACATGGGCCATGTTTAATTCCCACCAAACACCTGAAAAATACACTATGTAAAAAGAAGGTTCTCCATCATATCAAACTTGCGGTATATGCATGGAGTACTAAATGTAGATGAAATCAAAAACTAATTGCACAGTTTAGTTGTACTTTACGAGTCGAATCTTTTGAGCCTAATTAGTCAATGTTTAGACAATAATTCACAAATACAAACGAAACATTATAGTAACACATTAATTATTTGACCACTTCTAAATCCAGGAACTAAACAAAGCCATAGAAGGACAAGTGTTTCAGCCTTGCCTCTGACCTGACAAGTGACAAGGCTGGGGCTGGACCGAGACGAAGGGAGGTGCTGGGTCCAAGCCGCCAATAGGAAGGTTGGTGGATGTACATTGATTTTTTTTGGACTTTTCTACTATTCAAAACCTGTTCTGAACGTGCAGTCGGGCCTCGTTTAGATCACCTCCAAATTCTAAATTTTTTCATTTTCTTCATCATATTAATTTTTGAACGCATACATGGAGCATTAAATGTAGGTAAAAAAAATAACTAATTATATAATTTAGTTGTAAATCACGAGACAAATCTTTTAAACCTAGTTAGTCCATGATCAGACAAAGTTTATCAAATACAAACGAAACGTGCTACAGTATCCAGATTACAAAAATTTGCGATCTAAACGAGGCCTCGGTTGCTTCTTGTAATCTCTTTTTTTTTCCCTCTCAATGAAACACATGCTCAGGCACGTTCCTGAAGCCTGATAAAAAATGTAAAAATAGTTTGACCTTAGATAAATAAGTCTTGCAGTTCAACCTCACATAAATAAAGTCTTAACAGTTCTGTCATCAGATACATACAAGTTCTACATTTTGATCCCAGATAATGAACATAAATTATAGACATACAGCCACAGGTAACACAACGACGACGTCCTTTGAGCTAAAACATAATTTACCAACAAACCAAATGCCACCGGTGATTCTGGGAGGTAGAATCTTGCCATCACACAGTGGATTATTATAGCAGTACATAAATAATCGTCAATCAAGAGAAATAGAAATGATGAAAGGAAGCTCGCTTGTCCATCGCTATCTGATGGTATGATAGAAACAATTCTGGTACAGTCGGCGGGTGGGTGATCTCGTGAACCAACAGGAAAAGCCTGTACAGGAAGAGACATATTAGTTGAGTTGAGACAGGGAAGAGGATTAACATCTCAACAAGAAGCAACGGTAATAACAGAAAAATAGAGAGGCAAAGAAGTTCACCACGAGGGACAAAAGATGATAAATTCAAGGCGCTGGTGACTTGGCCTTGGTATCCTCGTTGTTTACATCACCACCAAGGGAAGGGAAAGAAGGGATGGACTTGAGAATCAGCTTCCTGCCACTCATACAGATTGGAGATAGTCGAGTACCCATTCGTGGGGGGAGAGATTCGCTTCTTATTTGGTGACACGACTTTAACAGAAGTTTGAGGAGATGAATTTCCCTTCAGGATATCTGATGTGCTATCGCCAAGGACCATTTCCGCGTAGTTTTCGAATGGGGAGAGCACAATGTCGGTCTTTGGAGGAGCTTGTAAGTTGCACAACCGAGAAGGATGTCCAGTGAGTTTTGTTGAAGATCGTGGTTTTTTTGGAGCTTTTCTTGGAGCTTGGGGGTGGAAGACAAGCCAAGGGTCTGGGAAGAGCAAAATGCATTAGAATTCAGTATATTACATAGAAGGCAGGATTCGCAGTAACAGATGTGTATTGTGCAAACATATGACATACAAACCTGCACTCCACCATGGAAGGTGTGGTCAGTACATTCTCAGCAGGAGCAGCATCAGTAGTTTGGTAGATGACAAGCTGTTTATCGATTTCACTTTTTTCTTCTTTCACACAAACATTCTTTTCTTCCAATCCCTGCTTAGGTTCCTCTATGCCTAACACAGCAGCCCCTTGAATCAGGTTTTAAAATAAAAATACTTTAGAGAAATAGTAGCTTTTTATGGATAGCAGAATATAGGACATGGTTAGTTGGTTACTGAGACAAATTGAAATAGCTAAGGTAGCCATAGTATATTACTTCATATAGTAACCAAGATCTAGTATTGTATTGTATAGGGCACCCTTTCAGAATGGTATAGCTAAAAGTAAGCAGCTTGCTTTAAATAAACCAAACATCATACAGCACAAGCTAATCTTAGGAAAGTTTTACCAAGAAGCAGAACTAAATTATTTTGTTGAAGAGACAAAGACCCCAACTCCAAACTGAAGCAGCATAACCAGACTACTGATGCCAATGGTCACCGTGGTGATTGAGGAGACAAACAAATTAAAGAGTACTCCAAATTAAATCAGGTAGCAAGAGATATAACTCCAATATGTGCAAAGGTCTTTTTTTTTTTTGCTTTTCTTAATCGGTAAGTCGGTAACCAATTAACAGAGAGGATATATGGTATTACATTTTCAAGTTGAAAGGTCAAACATGAGGTCCTAAAGAACTCAATGAGTCCAGGTTTCATGTGAAGCTATAACTAGTAGCACGATTGATTAGAATCATCTCTTAGCTGCTTTTGTAACTTGTATATCGAATAAGACTGCAAGGATGCAACTATGATCTTAGAGCATGCATGTTGCTGTTGCAGTTGTTTAAAACAGAAGTTTATGAAAATGGATTTGACTCACCCTCCCGTTTTCCAAAAGCATTCTTACAGCCCTCGCATCTGCAACTTATGGAGCATCCCACGCCACCCTTGATGAAGAGTAAAGATAAGATGCATACAAAGGGATTACGAAGAAAAAAAAGAGAGCACTAAATCAATGTAGGAGTTGAAACCTGAAAACATTCACAGTATTTTTTTAGACACGACGACTTCTTGCAATTGCATCCTCTTTTGTGACGAGCTGAAGCAGGAGTTTTATTGGAGAAGTCCTACAATATTGAAGATAATGATATTAGCAACAGACAAGACTAAAGGAAGTGCTCAAGTACAATAAGTTAGTGTCTCTTACCCCTAATTCCAGACCAGGCTCAGATGTATGAATTACTTTTGGAGCAAATGCTAATGGATTGCGAGATTCAATCTGTTGCCGTGTAGATAGAACTGTTTCTGTATGACTTTGGTTGTTCAGACAGCCGATACACGAACAAGGCTCAGAACAATAGACTCCAGCGGCAAAACACTCACAGTAACTGCATGAAATTAAGCAAAAAATTATCATGTAACAGAAACCAGACAATCTATCAGTGTAAAGACAGTTTGCCAGGAACAAAACACAGATCCCTTCTCCCTTCAAAAGAGTCAGAGGATTGAAACTAATTCAGGAAAGGGTAAACATTCATTAGAGAAGGGTCAGACACTCAGACCAGACAAAATATCAGTTTGAAGACGGAATTTGGAAGGAATAGCATGGAAAGAACATGGGTAACTCTTGAAAAGGATCAATGTTTTGAACCTAGTTCAGAAAAGGGTGAATATCCATTAGAGAGGTCAGACGGATGGCAATGACTTCAAGTAGAATGGCAAGTGAAGGAGTGCATCATTTAGGGAGGGATAAATCTAGAACAGCTAGCCAAAAGAAATTAGCATGGCATGGATTTTAACGACTGGGACTTTTTTTATTAAATAAGGTAAGATGCCATTGTTTTTTGTAGGAATTATGTGACTTGTCCTATAAATAAGGCTTTGTTGTTGTTGTTGTTGTTGTTGTTGTCCTATAAACAATCAATCTCAAATAAGGAAATATATTTACTGAAAATAAATATCACAACTAAGTCATTATTATCTGTGATAAAGGGATTAAACCAACCAAGAATAGAATCCATGATGAACGCTAATGAGCATAATAATGTTATTCATGAATACAGGAATAAACAAGGTAACCAGGTATAGAGATGACTGTAAATCGAAACTTGAACACCTCGCAACAACTTGATTAGGATTGATAGAACTATTAACTGAATGTTGTTGCTAGCCTACCTCAACTTGCTTGTGACTAGAAGACTATTATACTTGTTTTTTAACATTCTGCCCAAAACTGAAAAGCACTTAAACAGTATAGTGGCAGACACACCTACATGGCTATACATCTTAGTCAAGGAAAAACATGAATGGATAAATGATTAATCATTTAATCCTAACCAGAGTTACTCATAAGTCATAAACAACAGCACCTTTTTCATACAATGATACCTAAAATGAACCAAATATTCAAACTTACAGTTTCAGGCATTTTGACTTCTTACAACTACAACGCTTGCATGAAGTGCCATCACCATTATCAAACTTCTGCCTGGAAAATACTATTGCATTTCATGATTTTTCCAATGAAATAGTGCTATTTGACCTAAAATAATAGCCAAAGACATAGTACCTTTTCTTCTTGGGACTACCCTGACTAGAAGCTTCAGCAGTTGCAACATCAGTTGTTTGATTGAAATCATCATTTATATTGATTTGCTCAGAAGGTGCTGGAGAAGATCCAGAAGGACCTATCAAGTTACTCAATTCATTTATAGTAGACTGAATATCTATTTTCTCTTTAGGTATTGCAGCAAGGGCATTCAAGTGCAAGCCAATACCAGGCAATGCACGTGGAGGGGTTCTTAGAGGCTTTGAGTTGTCACCAGAAATAGTTTTGCATTTGGGGGTAGTTGAATTTACAGGATGATGATCTGAAGCTTTGTCTACACCTTTATTACTAACCCCAGCCTTTTCGCTGCGCCTACGCATGCCACGTAAATGCTGTGGCAAGGCCTGAAATAGCAGAAAACATGTCCTTTCATAAGAAAAAAACATTGATAGTTCAGCCAAATTAGCACAGCCTATACAAAACTAGATTTACAGGAAAGAAAATGCTATAAAGTAAAGAGAGCTGAATACTGATGGGTGATGGCAATCTTGTTAACACGTGGACACAAGATTATGCAATTTAGAGCAATACAGTGCACAAGGCACATGAATGGAAAACTGCTAATAAACATGGGCTTGTTAAATCCATTCTCGTACATATAGTATCCAAGCTAATATTAGTTTGTATGTACAGATATATTGCACTAGTCTTCAAATTAGATCAGGCCAATTACCACTTAGTCTTTGCATCTGATCATTCTAAAAGAGCCTGAGGGACATATTCGAGTCCTGACACTGCTAGGTGAGTGCAATTCTTGAGGAAGCTGAACAGATTCATCCCTACCAGCATGAAATACAAACTGTAAGGCAGAGCCAAGACAGATACATAAAAGTCGACATTAGCTAGAAGGCATAGGGAAAAAGTGAAAATAACCTGATCAAAACTTTAGTTTCCTTTGCTGGATTAACATGTGGTGAGTCAAAGATCGAAGAAACAGGCGCCAAATCTGATGACTTGAATAGCTGCACATTATGTGCTGTGTCTAAAGGTTTAGGCGGTGGTATAGGAGAGAGATTGTTGATGAAATTGAAGACAGGAGAATCCTGCAAGCAGTAAAATCAAATTAGAAAAGTAAAGCCACAGGTCTTTATTTCATCACTAAATATGAAAGCGAGCTTAGTGCCCTGATGTCAATGAATTGAGGATTGGCCAAATCCAAACCATGACCCTTTTTTAGCAAATAGAGATTACCACAATCTGCTGTAAGAAGGAAGTCTGCTAAACCCCGTAACTTACACCAACTTTTGCCCCAACCCACTTAAGAGAACAAAAACACATGAAGGCACAATAAGACCAGCATATCCAAAGTAACGCACGGAGTTGCATGCATTAAATAGGATACAAGTTTATCTATTACGAGTGCTTCATGAATACTTGAATTGTGATGACAATTAATTAAGATAGTTAAGTGCCTCTGCTGATTGGAAAGCAGTCTTGCAAGGAACCCCGAGATGCATTGAAAGGCCTAGAATGATGAGCTAAACAAATGTAGAAGTGCTGAGAAATATAATACTTGCACAAGGAAATGAAGTGAGGGGTTTGATACTAGGACGTCCTAATTGCTGAGAAAGTCTTTCCATGACAAAGCAATGTGCATGATCAGACACTCCTATCCAAGCTACACGCAGGAGTTCGTCAGCCAAAGGCACAAACAACCTCAGACTCTGAAGAAGAACTAGCATTTCCCATGGACAGAAGACCACCAAACGTATCAAACTAGCAGGCAACACTGAGATTTGCCGATCTAAGCGCTAACGTTGGAGACCCAAAGGTAGAATCCCTCCATTTCCGAACAATGCGCACATCAGAGCTTGTCAAATCTCGTAGGAAAGACATAACAATCCAAACTGACAGGCGCCGCCCGAGAACTCACAGAATCAGCAAGCCAATTGATCCATCCAGTAGAAATGATTCATTCCAGATGGTTGAGTAAGGCTAGCCCCCCAAATCCCCACATCACCCACACACACACACAGAGAGAAAGCCCCCTGAAGACTGAAGACCTCGAATCCAAGTCCAACATCGGGGAAAACCGCGACAGGGTGCGTCGATCAGAACCCTAATCCCCCACCCACCGGCCGAAATGCGCCCTCCCAGTCCCCCAAAACAAATCACCGAAAAGTCAAGCAAATGCGGCGCAGCAAATCGCATCGGCCGAGCAGCCGCCCGCCGACCTACCGACCAATCCAATCCTAATACAGGCACGGCCGCCTACCCACGAACAGCCCGCTTCCTCGCCCCTAAAATCCCTAGGAAAAATGGCCCCCAAACCCCACATCAGAACATGGAAAATCGGTGGGGAACAAGCATCAGCGGGGGCGGGCGGGCCCCGGGCTGCGAGCGAGATGGCGGACCTCGAAACCGGCGGCGGCGGCGCGGGGCCTATCCGGCGTGTCCATCTGGTCCGGCGACCCCGCGGTGGGCCTCCCGCATCTGCGTCCCCTTCCCCGCCGCCTCCTCCTGCTACTGACGAGTGAGTGATGAGGAGCCCCCAGCACCACCAGCACTACTACTACCAGTCCTAATACTAGTAATTTTTACTGGGCCTGATGCCTGACGAGGGGTTTCGTGTTATACTACTGCTGCGAGCCTGCGACTGCGTCCCACACCCCAGCGCTCCCGCCGCGTGCGGTCGGCTCGGGTCGGGTGCGTTTCAAGGAGGCGGCCATGGGCGGGAACGGGAACCCCAGGTTTTCGGCGGTGGGGGCGAGCTGTCAGTGGGGACGGGCGCCTGGGCCATGGGCCGCCAGCGCCGCAGCCGCAGCCAGCAGGCCAGCAGGCCAGCAGGCCAGTTTCGGATTGGGCCTTCCATGTGGGAACGGGAGAAGGAAAAAGAATTTTTTTTTTTTTTTTTTATGATTGGGTGAGTTGAGTAGGACATAAACTGAGGATTTGAGATTCACCTGGCCGATTTACGAGGCCAGGCTGGAACCCTTTTTTCCTACCTTTTGCGTAGGCTACGGAGATGCAGGGGATTCAGGGGTGGATTGAATTGGGTGCCCATATTTGGAAGAATGTTGTTGTTTGGGAGGCTGAGCGTGGAAAAGGGAAACAAAGCCCCGTTCACTGGTCTGAAACTTGGCTGAAACTGGCTGAAAAACATTGTTTCTGGTTGAAATGTTGTAAGAGAAAAACACGGTTCCGGCTGAAAAAAAAAATCGAACAAACCAAATTTCAGACCAGCCGAACGAGGCCAAAGGCCCAACAATTGTTGGAGTGGGCTTAGCTGTGTCTTTCCATTTTATGATAACATTTATTTCATCTTTGATCAACATTAATTAACAGCTGCAGGTGTTTTTACCTAATATTATGCACTAATCATTGATTGATGGCATAGTTTGGTAGATGGTTATGGATGAGTAGCATGGAACTTGGTAGGTGTCATTATGCATTCCCTGCTAGCTAGACCTCGTGTAATCTCTCCCTGCTCAGTTGGCATCGTGCCCGTATTTTGTTAATGGTTTGTTAGGAGTCCGATGGATCCATGTATATTTTTCTAAACGAGTTGATTTGCATCATCGAAAAAAGGAACAGCAATATCAACGACATCATCTTATCTTCCTCTCGCATCCACTTTATCGCTCTTATTGGCCACCTCCCTTCTTCTCGATCTACCCTGTTTGTCGTCATCCCATGGCCTCCAATGCCACATTCCGGCAGCGCCCCTTATCCATTGCCTCCTTCTACCTTTCGCGATCATTGGCGATTTATACTACAATTCACCCACACGGTTTGTTGCTCCTCACGTGCCTCTCATCTAACCACTTTAGTGAGCTGCCCACACACCGATTCTTTCAATCTACTCCCTCGATTCCAAACTCTTATAATTTAAAAGAGGGGGAGTACTATGCTCCACAATCAAAGTGGTTAGTGCCTCTGCTAACCATTGCTTCCTCGTTCGCCAATACCCTATCACCATTGGCTATGTTGGGATGATGACATCTGTGGCCATCTGCCCCTCTCCCTCTACCACGCCTGAAATTCTTAATTCTGATCCTCAATGCTAATTCTGACCCTAAATACCGCGAAACATCACAAAAAGGAGGTTCTCATTCTTACTTCTACTACGTTGCAAATTTTTACACCTCGTTCATTGGACTCCTTTCTCCGTTTCAAATCATAGCAACTTTCCCTTTGGACAAGTAGTCGATTTCTAAATCCAAAAGGCTCTCATATTAGGATGAAACCAAAAGTAACTACGTTGCAAAGTAGTCGATTTCTTTTGTCTTTGAGAATCATAGTACCGATGTAGACTTAGCCGCTAGATCTTGCATCTCACTACTACTACTAAAAAAGTAACACCGTTAAATCCTAAAAAATATGTCCCTAGCATGTCTTTATCATCGAGGAAACAACACCGTTAAATTCTAACGTAAATAAATCTAAAAAAATACGAACAAGTCTATAACTTGAACTGAGATGGTATGTCCACCACAAGTAGCCTAACCCACTAAGCTTCTTCTCCTTTTGCAAACACCCTACCGAATAATAATAAGTAGGCAGCTATAAAAGAAAATTAGTTAGCAAATATTGATTTCTGCTAGTTCATGCCAAAAAAATCCTTCTATTAATCGATTTATTTATACAATTATACCGTCCGAGTCACACCCACGAGTGCTGGTGCTCATCCCATCATCCGCTCCGACACGCTCACGCAGTCGCGCTGGAGAGAGCGGGCAAGGGAGAGACGTCGCGGACTCGTCTGACAGGTCACCGCCCTTGACTGTCTTCGAAAGCTTAGCCATATGGCTACCAAAACCCCAACTGAATATTGGATGATATTATTTTGGTCTCCAATAGATTATATATACGCAAGATACGTGAAATGTATTTTGGGTTATAGCAGACTCACAGCTCAAATATAAATATTCTTTCTTCTTAAAACTTATTTATAGAAAATGTTCTCTTTAAAATTATATTATTGGAAAAAAATATTGAACTCTTTATTTGCAACGCTGTCAAATGTGAAATGGGTGCTGTAGTTGGACTGACGACGCCCATCTCTGCGTCGCGAATTATTTCCCCGACCCGTCGACGCGCCACTCCGCCTTGCTCACCACTGCTCTCCAAGCCTCCACCAGCCCAACCACCGCCACTGCGTGATGGCCTCCCGCCTCCTCCACCTCCACCTGCGCCGCCGCGGGCGCGGCGGGAGCCCGGCGGGCAGCCCCGTGCCCGCGCTGCCCCTCCTCGCCGCGCGGCTCCTCTCCTCCTCGTCCCCTACACCCGCCGCAGCTGGGCCCTCGTCCTCGGCAGCGGGCGGCGGCGGGGGCATCGAGAAGGTGCTGGTGGCGAACCGGGGCGAGATCGCGTGCCGGGTCATACGCACCGCGCGCCGCCTCGGGGTCGCCACCGTCGCCGTGTACAGCGACGCCGACCGCGGCGCGCTGCACGTGCGCGCCGCCGACGAGGCCGTCAGGATCGGCCCGCCGCCCGCGCGCGAGAGCTACCTCAACGCCGGCGCCATCATCGACGCCGCGCTCCGCACCGGCGCCCAGGTCCGTGTACCAACAGCCCCTGCCGCTCGTCGCTGTCTCGCTCATTATTTCCCCTAGATTGCCTGCGTCTTGAGCCGCGTGCCCTGCCGTGTCACTCTGTCAAGGTGGGTGAGCTACTGAGCTGTCTCACTAGGCATACTGATTGTCGGTCGTTGCTTGAAATGAGCATCCTAGCGTCTGAACCTCTGTAATCCTGCCACTTCATCAGTCCTCGAGTTGAGTACTAGTTAGCGTCTGAACCTCTGTAATCCTGCCACTTCATCAGTCCTCGAGTTGTGTCGAAATAGTGTTGGCTGCTACATCACATTTTCGTGAAGATACAAGAACCGTGTCGTAGGGAAATAGTGTGAAAGTGGAAAACAGTACGAAAGTTTTAGTGTGCCATGATGCAGGCACGGATATTTATGAGACATTTTTTTTCTATTTGCTTTGTGCAGGCTATCCACCCAGGATACGGTTTTCTTTCAGAGAGTGCTGATTTTGCGCAGCTCTGTGAGACTGAGGGGCTCAAATTCATTGGACCACCAGCCTCTGCAATCCGAGATATGGGGGACAAGAGGTAAATATCTTGTTGTCTGGTGTGTGCATACAGAGTGTTCTGTTTGGGCTTTTGTTCAGAACGGTGCACCCTAAACATGATTTGTGAAATATAGTGCATCCAAGAGGATCATGGGTGCTGCTGGCGTGCCGCTGGTTCCAGGATACCATGGGGCTGACCAAGACATTGAGCTGTTGAAACTTGAAGCGGATAAAATCGGTTATCCTGTTTTAATCAAGCCCACCCATGGTGGAGGGGGCAAGGTATGCCGAACTGTTTCTCAGATTGTCTCATACAGGAAAAGTGCTTATTCTAATTTCCTATGCGTATAGCTTTATACTGTTCCAGAGAAGCCTGCTCTGTAGTTGCATGACCTATCATATGTGTGTCATGTCTCTAACCTTTTCATCCTATATCCTTTCTTAAGGGGATGAGAATAGTCGAAAGGCCTGACGAATTTGTGGATGCTGTACTGAGCGCTCAACGGGAAGCTGCAGCATCATTTGGTGTAAACACACTATTGATTGAGAAGTATATTACTCAACCAAGACATGTAGAAGTCCAGGTAAGACTCAATTGATTTTGGACCTGCCACAGTCTTTTATATAATTGGAAACCTGCAGTAACTCCCTGTTGTCTTCCCTGGTACTGTATTGATGTTTGAAGGTATTTGGCGACCAACATGGGAATGCAATATACCTCTATGAGAGAGACTGCAGTCTACAAAGAAGGCATCAGAAGATTATCGAGGAAGCTCCAGCTGTAAGGATCTGTTATCCAACAAAACCCTGGAACTTGCTTGAAAACATATTGAGGAAGCTCTAAGGCTTTGCTAGCTGTTTGTGCCCTGAATTTTACTTTGATAGAATAATTGATTCAGTTGTCCTTTTGTATATGGTGCAGCCAAATGTGACAGCTGAGTTTCGGTCTCATATTGGTGGAGCTGCTGTATCTGCCGCAAAGGTGAATGCTTCTGAACATTAGTATGTGTTTAGGAGACAAATTTAATGTTTTCAGTTCGCTATTGTTGGTTAAGTTTTTCTTTTCATTATCTACGCTGCCAATTTTTTTCACACCAATATGGAATGACAAATGTGCAAGCAATTTGCTTCACATGAACTTCAGTTCAAAGTTACATGCATTATCTAGTAGCTCATGTTACTATGTTAGTCAACTTTTTGTTGAATAATACTCGACAGTTGCAAGCTACCTAACATTTTCATGCTGTCTGTCACAAAACAAGTAGTTCTTTCTTTGTTTTCTCTGTTGATATGTTCTTTAGTAGTTATTCTGTTTAATCCTTCTATTTCACATACAGGGTCACTTATTGGATTATTTGTGTTGAAGGCAGTTGGTTACTACA